GTGTTGGCGTGCTACTAGCCTACCTAAAGCACCTACATCATTTGCCCCCCACTCTCAAGACCGCAATGATGGTCTTGGCTGAGGACCTCGATTTCGGCCGAAGAGAGTGTGTCATCCTTGTTGGGAGGCACTGAGAGGTCTTCAATGGCGAGGGCCTCGGCTACAGTCGAGCTGGTGAGAGCAGTTTTTTGGAGTGGAGGTGCTGAGGCCAAAGACTGCTAAGGTGAGGACCTATGGAGCCTGAGGACTACTAAGTCCAATGACTGTGGAGGCCGAGGACCTGTGGAGCTTGAAGGATTGCTGAGGCCAAGGACCTATGAAGCCTAAGGGTTGTTGAGGACAAGGACCTATGAAACGTAAGGGCTGTTGAGGCTGAGGACTTGTATTTTGCACCAGTACGAAGTGCGTGTGCCCCCCAGTCGTGCTCCAGATCAGCTAATGAGTCCATGCATGGGCCAGGTGTCCATCAAGAGGCGAGCAGTGGGGGTGGCCGAGGTTCAGCCGCCATCTGAGGTGATGATGCCTTGAGTCGAGGAGGTGAGGAGGGGCATGCGCCCGTTAAGAGGCGGGCCAAGGCATGGCTGTTGAGGGGGTTGACTGAGGTGTGACCACCGAGGTGTAACCGTTGGGGTGTGATCGCCAAGGTGTGGCCATCGGGGTGTGACTGCCGAGGTGTGATCATCGAGGTGTGACCATCGGGGTGTGACCGTCGAGGTGTGACCATCGAGGTGTGACTACCAAGGCTACTAGGGTCCTTTTGTGTTTTCAGTCATTTCGTTGGAAGCTTAGCTGTGGATTGGGAGAAGTCTTAGCAGCCATTCCCACATATGACACCAATTGTTGATGCTCAAAATGGGCTGAGGACAACTCTATAGCTTCGCTTCCCGGACGAACTAGCAGATGGAAGAGTCCGTTGTGGCCAAGGTCAGCTAAGTTCGAGGAGGGCTGAGGTCGAGGACCAATGGAATCCAAGGAGTGCCAAGGCTGAGGACTAGTGGAATTTGAGGAGTGTCAAGGCCGAAGACCTGTAAGGAAGGGGACGTTAGAGGCCTCGGGCCTAGCCTGAGGCAGGGAATCTGACGATCAAGTTAGTGAGGGCATAACAAAGAAGGCGGACGAGGCATGAGTAGAGTAGCTTAGATGAGCTCGTCCAAGAGCTAGAGAGCTTGGAGTAGCAGATTTCCAGCACGGGTTTTTTAGGTGATTACCTTGAGGGGGGTAGCATCTATTTATACTTGAGACCGCCATCCGAGGTCGTCACGTGTGGCTACACCATTGGCCCCATGCTATGCACTGCGCTCAGCCACGTGTCAACGTGCTACTGACTTACCTAAAGCACCTACATCAGCTTTGATATTTGGAAACTTACATTGTCGAAGAGCCAACTCATGTGAATGAACCAAAACCCTTCAATATGTGGATCTCCCTCTCCCCAACCCTATGGGAAGACAAAAGATTTGAGAGAGCCATTGTTTATACACACACACTTGTCTCTAAGCACATCCTTCTTGATGGGCAGACGTGAACGGATGCCCCAATAGTAAACCATCTTTGGTATTTTTGCTGTAATGGTCTATCTCCCTCCCCCTTCTTTGTATTAGCTCTGTTTAAGTGGTTATAAAGAATAAACAAAACTGGAAGTTCAGCTTCTGTATTCCTACAGACTTGCTTAGCTCTGTTTTTCTCTCAGGTTACGTGTGAGAATCATCCATCGGAGGAGAGTATGAATTTTTGGCTTATATGATCCCTAATGGTAACTAACTGTTAAAATAAAAATAAATGTTTCATCCCGATTTTTAAGAGAAAATTCATACAAAAGACTTTTAATAAAGGTAAAGGGCAATGGAACTACACGAATACGCAGCCCGTAAATGTTATATAAAAAAAAATATAAAAAAAAAACAGAAAAACAAGAGGCACAAGGGAAAAAACTGAAAGATCCTAATATTAATTACCTCTTATGGTTAGTCTACACAATAATCTCACTATATAATATGAAGCTAAGTCGGGTTAAGGTTGGATTGGGTTGGGCAACGCCTCAACCCTAACCCAACCTGAAATTAAAACGAATTCTTACTTTTCAACCTTCACCCGGACTTTAATCCAACTTTTTTCGGGCTGGGTTTGGGCTAACTCAGCCCAAATTAGGAATCGCAAGAGAGTCCTGTGTAGCAGATATGGACACGAGGGAGGAAAACACTATTGGTAGAGAAGAAAGATAAGGTTCATGTTCTCCGCTACAACAAGTATGGGAGATGTTCACAAATCACAATATATTGGGGGTAGGGGTGGATTCGAGCCGAGCCAAGCCGAATAGTATCAAATTCGAACTCAGCTTGAGACTAACCTTGAGTTTGAGCTCGGCTTGAGTCAAAAGTTCATAAGTTCGAGCTCGGTTCGGCTCGGTTTGGCTCATTTTATATTTTATAAAAACATTTTATTATATATTTTATAAATATTTTATTATAAAATATTTAAAAAAAATGGTTTATAAAAATAAAAATCATATATAAAAAAATTATTTTATATTTGAAAAAGTAAGAATAATAATAATTAATAATTATAATATTTTTATTATATTATATATATATTAAATATCAAATATATATATATATATATATATATGTATGTATGTATGTATGTATGTATGTATGTATATTCGAGCTGGCTTGCGAGCCGAACCGAGTAGATCTCTAGTAGGCTCAAGCTTGGTTCATTTAATAATTGAGCCACTGAATTGGGCTCGAGATTTGCTGAAACCGAGGTGAGCCGAGCTTTTCACAAGCCGAGCTCGAGTAGCTCGTGAAAAGCTCAGCTCGTTGCCACCCCTAATCAAGGGGATGTACTGTGGGGTACTTCTGGGGCGTGCCCTATGGGGAGCCCCTCTAAACTCATTCCAGTATTGAGATGCAAACATGGAGTTGGAATATGAATAAGTGCTTATTGAGAGTGCTTATGTTAAAAATAAGTGCTTATTCAAATAAGCACTTATTTGCATTTGGCATCCAACTTTTCAAATGTTTATTTTAAAAAATAAGCACTTATTTCATATTGGGCATTTGGTAATCTTTTTCTCCAATAAACACTTAAATAAGCATTAATTTGTAACTATTTTGTCTTTCATTTTCTTTCAAATTTTACAAATGCACTTTTACGAAAGTACTTTTATGAAAATACTTTTATAAGAGCATTTTTATCAAAGCACTTTTGTAAAAGTATTTTTGTTTACTTTTATGAAAGCACTTTAATAAAAGCACTTTTACGAAAGTATTTTTATAAAAGTACTTTTACAAAAGCACTTCAATAAAAGCACTTTTATAAAAAGTACTTAAAATTCAACTAGGGATAATTTTGGAAGAAAATTTGAATAAGTGTTTATACAATAAGCACTTAAAAAAACTAGAGATTTGAGCTTAAAAAATAAGCCCTTATTTTTAAAATAAGTACTTATTTCATGTTTATTTCACAAACACCAATAAGTGCTTAATGATGTAATCCCAACCCAAATAAGCACTTAATTTTGAGCACTCCCAAACATGGCCTAATTCAAAAAGGTTAAGGATTTACTACCAACACAACACACCTAACAGTCCCAACTGTCCACTACAGCAACGCATTATGAAGGTTATGGATATGCTACCAACAAACATTCCCAACATTTGTCCCAATGAGTTACTACAGACATACATTTGGAACATCTCTTTTGTCATTGATAGAGAGATATTCCCGATGTGTGATTGTAATGTATAATCGAGACAGTGTTGAGAACGTCAGTTGGTAGCAGATGTGAACATGATTGTGAATTCTCAGTTAGTAGCGTTTGTTGGAATTAGATCTGAAATTGAGATGAGAAATTAATTAAGGGAAAATTCCTGATTCCTGTAATTTGGGCCTAGTGCCATTTTGGTTCCCGAAGTTCAAATTTTGAAATGCAATAATTCAGTGTCTAAATTTTTAAAACATGTCAATCCAATACCTGTCTGTTAACTAGCCCTTAAATAGCATTTGAGAAGACACAAATGCTCTCATCTACTTCTCTTTATCAACCATCCAAACATTGATAAAAAAAATGAACAATCCCAAATCCTTGCCTCTTCTATTCAAAAAAGTTGGGGTTATGTCTCAGTGGGTATTCTGGTGACCCCAACTTTCCTCGAAGCAAGGATTTGAGATTGTTCATTTATTATCAATGTTTGTATGGTTGATAAAGAGAATAAGATGGCACTCGAAAGGCATTTGTGTCTTTTCATATGCAACTTAACGACTGGTTAACGGTAAGTACTAGATTGACGTGTTTTGAAAGTTCGAGAATTGAATTGTTGCATTTTAAAGTTCAGGAATCAAAGTGGCATTAGGCCCAAAGTTAGAGTGCAAATTGATCGGATTAATATCTGATCTGATCCTATTTGGTCGAATTCAGATCACCCCTGTTTGGATCTTTAGATTGGATTATAGGATCCGACCATAAATCAAATCGGATTCGTATAACCCCTATGTGATTTGATAAATGTTATATATTTATTTGTATAAATATATATAATACATATATATGTTATTTATTTATTTATAAATATATTATTTATATTGTATTTTTGTAAATTTATTATATTATTTATTTTTTAATAAAAACATATGTATATAATAAAAATAATTAAAAAATATTTATATTTTTTATTTTTTAGTATATTTTATTTTTCTTTTAATAATTTATTAATTTTTAAAAAAAGCAAGTCAGACTGGATCAAATTCGAAGATTTAACTTCATGGTCGTGGGACCACACGGTTTGCAGCCCTAACCCAAAGTAAAGGTTAGTAATGGGGAATTTTCCCGTTTTTCTCTAATCGTCTCTTGGGACCACACGGTTTAACTCCCATGGTCGTGGAGTCAAGTCAAAGTCTACCGCTAGACTAATGTATGGGTTGGTTTCATACATTTCAGTTGTGATAAATTAGAGTGATAGGTAAAGAGATCAACTATTTCAAAGAACAACACTCAGCTCCTGGCAAGAGACGATAACAAACAAAGAGATCGATGATGCGCCAGTCACTGCTCATCATCATCCTCTTGTCCCTGTTCGCCATTACAGCAACGTCTCAGAAATTCCCCGTCTGCTCCGAACAAGACGACTCTGGCTGACATTCAAACCCTCTTCGGAATCGAGGACCTCACGTCTCTTCTGGGAGCAAACTTCTTCCCAGTGTCCACCTCATCGAACCGAAGCGTTGCCGAAGGCGAGATAATCAGAATCCCCTTTCTCTGTAATTGCAAAGATGATTACGGAAAATCGGAAGGGCTTCCAATCTACAAGCTACAGCCAGGCGACGGCACCTTAGATTACATCGCCGAGAAGGTCTTCTCGGGGTTAGTGACGGCCCAAATGATCGCAGATGCCAATAATAACATTAACATCTCCAACCTGAACTCGTGACGGCTGAGAGAGATTGAGCTGTATATTCCGTTACCGTGCAACTGCGAAGACGGGAAAACCATCCACTATACACACGTTTTCTCTAACGGGAGCTCGTTGGAGAAGATCGCCCGGGAGTATGGAATCTCCGAACGTGAGTTGATGACTCTCAACAGTGTCGACAATGCCGGTGATGTCAGGGCCGGCCAAGTTCTTGACATTCCCCTTGAAGGTTAGCTTACACCTATCTAGTTTTACATATTTACCAAGACTGCTTTTTTGTCTATTACGACTTGGGATCTCCTGCCAATAAAAGACGTTGGCAGTTTTAATGTTGGAAGCGTTTTACGGTTTTACTTAGTAAGCGCTTTAACTACTGGTTAAGTGAAATTTTAAAAAAATACAAATGTCTTTCAAGTATCATCTAATTTTTTTCTCAACTATTTAAGTATTGATAAAAAAAATTTATAGTTCCAAATTCTTACTTCTTCTATTTAAGAAAGTCCAGGTTACCAGAATGTCCTGAATTGTCACCTTTTGAAAGTTCAAGTACTGAATTATTGCATTTTAAAATTGGGAGACCAAAGTGGCACAAGACACAAAATACATGATACTAATTAGGAATTTCCCTTTTACTTAAAAAGGGTGCAAGTTGGGTTGGGTTAAGTCTCGTTTTTTTTTGTACTCCAGATCAATATAACCTTAACCCTTCTGGATTGGGTTAGGATCAGGTTAGTCTGGGGTTGGTCAGATTTTTGTACTTCCTTTTGTTAAATGTACTTACTACAGTATAAAGGTTTATGTTGATTCAATATTAGCACTATTATGTGTAAAAGAATATAGTTATCATGTTTTAGAAAAATGTCTTTAAACCTAAAACTTTTGAAATACAATATGCATGTACATATGTATAAATAGATAATGTATATGCACAAGTATTCATAGCCGAAAAATGCATAAATATACAGATATATACACTTATGGATGCATAGTTGCATATGCATGCTTGAATAGCAAATAGAATAAGTATATACATAAATATTTAGGCTGTGTTTGGTTGCAGTGCAATTTTATTTGCACTAATACAAATGGATGGGAGTGCAAGTAACAAAATTACAAATTCTCATTTAATTTTGTTTTGGGTTTTATTTTATTCTACTTCATGTCTTAATTTACTTCATTTGTAATGCAATGAAACAGAATATATTAACATTTGAAACAAAAATATGTTAGAATTTACACTCAAATCATTTGCACTGCTAGAGTTTCGCATCATTACAAATTTATTTGTATTACAACCAAACACAGCCTTACATTCATAAATATGGTGACGTGCATATTCACACACATTCATGCAAATATGGAATTAAATCAAATTCATATTTTTCAACCCTAACCCTAACCTGAACTTCAATGCAACCCAATCCAATTCAACTTAACCCAACCCTAGTTTTTAGAACTGAGTTGGGGTTGACCCAGCCCAATTTGCAGCGTATTTACTTAATTCACCTATACCACCAGAAACCATCCTTTGAGCATTTTCTATATCGAGATTCCTCAAGATGATAATATTGACTATTTGGGCATTTTCTATCCCTAGAAAACAAAAAATCATGCTGAAAAAGTCAAATAAAAACTAAACTTTTTTTTCCTGTGTAACAATATATTTTAAACCTTGGCATCGGTTGTAATGGGTCCTTCTTCTTTACATGGCCATTACGCTTTTGACACATGGCCATGAAAGTATATGGGTCCGTTACAAGATTCACAGCCAATGCTAAAGCCACGTCCCAGGGGTATTTTCACTTTCAAATAGTTCATAATGGTAGATGGATTAAGGTTGCATTTGGCATTCCTTATTTTAAGGATTTATCTGTTTTTTGCAGTTAAAAACTCAGTATTTCTGAAGGCATTTTAACAATAGAAATGAGATAATCCTTAAAATAAGGACTGCCAAATGCAGTCTAAGCATTGTTTTTAAAATCAGACCGGACCAGATGGTCGGACCAAAAAAATTGGGAACCGGTCATTCCATTTTCCCCCAAAGCCGTTGATTTTGGTCAGCAAACTGTTGAACCAGCCAGTTAACTATTCAAACCGTTCGAACTGTTTGAACGGTTTTGACCGTTTTCTAATTTTTTTGTCAAAACAAGTCAGCCGTTTGGGTCGAATGATTGGACCGTTTGAACCAATAACTAGACCCCTGACCGGTTCATTTTTAAAAACCATGAATCTAAGTGTAGTTGCAAATTTGAGGGTCAAGATAGGTCTTAATAAATAAATAAAATTATAGGGATGTGTTAGTAAATAACACTAAAAATATATCTATAAACTCTGCTTTTGGCTCCTTGGGTTGCTGATGAACATCGAACAGCTTCGTATTTGTATACTTGCAGTCTGTGCTTCTAATGTGATACATGAATCTCCGGACTACCCTTTGGTGGTGGCCAATGGCACTTACACCTTAACAGCCAACAATTGCGTCCGATGCAGGTGTAATATTCCGTATGATAGTCGCTATAATTCATACTACACTCGCAGGTGAGTCTCTTTCAGCACTTAGGCTAAAGCTTTGATTGAACTGCTTTGAAAGATAATTACTTTTAGGCTTTCCGGGGTAATCACCAGACATGGCTTATGGGATGTCCGGAAGGGGTCTATCTCATAAAGCTAGAAGCCAATACGTCCCCCCTCAAATGGGCACTTAAATTAGACCAAACTTTGGCCTTAATTGATCTGTTTGTTTAATTATATTACTTTAACATCAGATTGCACTGTGAACCATCCCATGCAACTCAACTCATCTCAAACTGGACTCATCAGTGCCCTCCCATGCAATGTCTTTTTGACAATGGTGCATCATTGACCTTGGGAGATCACACACCTTTCGTTCAAACCTCTTGTGGCTACGCCTGTGTCTACACCGGATATAACAATGCCAATCAAACCATCTTCACAGACCTTGCTTTGGATTATATGTGTGGTAAGCTAAGCTCACTGTTGTAATTAAAGCATTATTTGGATAAGCTTTTGATTTTCAAGTTTACACACTGAAAAACAAATTTGAACCATAAAAAAATGCTTTGAAAAACATTACTATATATCCAGAGCCAAACACTTTTAAGTCCCAAAGCACAAACCCTAAAATCAAGGACAGTGTTAATGATGAATATGTGGTTTGTGTTGTTGATCATAAACCAGGGCATCGTGATGAACCATTGCCTCCAGTGCCTTCTCCAAGTCCAAGTCCTTCTCCTTATCCCGAGGGAGATGCTCCGCCTCTGCAGCAGCCTACTAATGCTCCACAGCCTACTCCTGGTAATTTATATTCTAAGGCTGCATTAATTATTTGGCATTTTTCTTTTTATTTTAAGGACATAGTAGCAAGGGCCACGGGCGAATAATACCGAGTAATTAAGAGAATAAAAGAAATGAAAAAAAGAATAATATGAAATAATTAAAAAACTATTGCTTGTACTAATCATGGGCAATGAAATGTAAAATGAAACATCAAATAAAATTATAAATTATAAATAAAAAAAATCACAATAATTAACAAAACAGTAGCAATCAAAGGAAAATGTATATCAACTTACTTGCTTCACTCTCAACACAATGGGATGAACCCTCAAAAGAAAATGTCACCTCCATTGCTGTTGCAGTAGTTCTCTCTCTGGTTGGATCCACCCAACCAAATGGTTGAAATTGGGAATGAGCTATTTTAATTCTGATTCTAAATCTCTATTCCCTTGAACCAAAAGGACCCTTTATGTATTTGTTGATTAGTGGTGTTTTTGAGGCTCAGTTTGGAAAGAGTACAAATACAAATATGTAGAGTGCAAAATTTTGTATCTTGTATTATTTTGTTATGTATTTATATTGTACATATTTGTATTTGTATTCCTTTCAAATTGAGCCTAATATCAAACTTTATTTTTGTGAATTCATGCATGTAAAATGTGTAGTCAATCATGAGTGAAATCACAACATACAATTAAGTATATTAGAAGATATTCCTGTACAGTGTTGGTTCACTCCAGCATTAACGCGAAATCGATTCCTGGCAACCACCGATATGAGGAGGGGGTATTAATAGTTCATGGAGCGCGCGCTTCACACTAACCTTATAGTCATATCCCACCCTCTATTGAGAACATCTCCCATGAATACCCGTGAATAATAAATACAAGTACAGATTCCAGCACACTGTGAATTCGGTGTGAGGCGCGCTGTATGAATAGCAGACTCGATATTAATGGTGCTTGGCGCCAATACCAAAAAGAAAAAAAAAAGCCTTGTGAATAGGTGTGAATAACTGACCGCATGTGGTCTACTGGTCCCATGCACACGGAACAATGGTGTGTTAATTTTATTCCTGATTCGTTGATTATGAAATCCGGCGTTTTACATGTCTGTACATTTGCTGGAGATCCGGAGTCGCAGTCAACATCTTTGTTCGTTCAGCTGGACTGGTTGCTATAAGTCTCAATCTTCTTTAGTTGTACATGTATGGCGCTGATGAAGGTGTCAAGTGTCCTTGCATTGAATTTGGAATAAGGTTTTCTCTCTCCAATTTTATTGTTTGGCATCCATTTTAGAAAAACAAGTACAGTTGATAACTCATTTATTTCTCCACATTTCACAGCGTAAACATCAATTAGAATTTTCATTTCTAAGCTACCTTTGAGATAAAAAATAAATAAAATCCATATTTAATTTCTAAATACGTTAAAGAATTGCACCCAACAGCAAGGTATAGAAACCGTCGCAGAAGTTAGGGGTTTCACTCCGGAATCTGCTTTTAGTGGGAAGGTATAGAAACCGTAGCAGAAGCTACAATCCATAGAATAGCAGAACCCCTCCTACGATGGCCCTAGATATATAAGTTCTTTGCGGTCAGTCTAAGGAGTGTCTAACCCAAGACTTCCAAATATGATGAAGGTTGTTAAAGGTCGATTAAAAAGAGGTTTTAATGGCATTTATATAAGTGCCGGTCTAATCCAAGATTAGTGTTGCCATTAAAAATGGGTTTTACTAGCATTTTTTATATTGATAATGGGCATTTTGGTAGATCCTAACTGGCTAGTGACTCAGATGCCTAGTTGAATGGTTCTTAATTGGAAGGTGGTTTGGATGCCTAGCTGAATGGTGACAAGCTGGAAGGTGGGTCTAACGCCTAGCTGAATGGTAACAAGCCGAAGATGTGGCTCTGATGACTAGTTGATGGTGACGAGTTGGAAAGGTGGCTCTAATGCCTAACTGAATGGTAACGAGCCGGAGAGGTGGTTCTGATGCCTAGTTGAATAGTGACGAGCTGGAGAGGTGACTCTGGTACCTAGCTGACTGGTGACAAGATAGAGAAGTGGTTCTGATGCAACCTGCAAGGAAACAGTGTCAGAGTGCCCGGGTTGCTTTACCCAGGGTGGGCACTATGATGCTTAAGTCAACGAATGCGATGATTTTGTGAGAGAGCTGAAAGTAAGAGAGCTGAAAGTAAGAGAGCTAGAGAGCTGTGAGAACTAAACTGCGTGTATACTTTATGAGGTTGGAGGTAAGCCCTTTATATAGACATTGTTTGGCATTGACATCATGCAATGTGTCTAGGATCTCCAAGAAGACGTGCCTAACTACTCCGAAGTCCTCAGAGGTAGTTATGCATGTAGGCCAATCTTTGCACCATACTTGGTTTCCTAAAAAACATTCGATGTAAGAGCTGACTTCCGAGAAACCCGTGAGTGATGGGGTGCATGAAAAATTCATTGATGAGCACATCTCGCAGGTTGCCACCTGGACCTCAATCAGGTCGATAAGCCCTCGAGGGAGGTTTCTCCTCACGTCAAGGTCGCTTTGACTGATACTAACGAGGTACCACAGGTCGGCCCTAGACGAGGTGCTGCTAGCCGCCTTGAGTTGTGGATGAGGTCACCAGCTAGGTTTTCACCAGGTCGGTGGAGGAGGCAGGTCGCCAGGTCAGCGGTGGAGGCAGGTCGCCAGGTCAGCGCTAGAGGCAGGTCGCCAGGTCACCAAGTCAACGACGGGGCAGGTCGCAGGTCACTAGGTCACCAACTAGGACTCCATCATTTTGGCTAAGGCAGGTTGTCATCTAGGTGGTTTTGAGATGTCACCCAGTTGTTCGAAGATATCATGTGTCATAATGTCAGTAGAGGGCCAAATTTGCCCTCATCATATATAAATCCCCATACCTTCCGGCCTTGTGTTTTAATGGTCAAGTTGATTTGAGCCGCTGACGTTTTAATTAAACACAATAAAAGATGCTAGATTAAGCATTCTATATTCCAAAGAGAAAAGTTCCAAATAGATAGAGGATTATGCTGCATTTTGCATTCCCTATTTTAAGGATTTATCTCATTTTTCAGTTAAAATGCCTCTAGAACACTGAATTCTTAAGGGATGTTTTCCCCTTTTCGCTAAATGAAATATTAATGTAGATTCCCATACTTGCAATTCTTTATTGCATAGCAGTACACTTACTCATATTTCTGTCTTTCTTCCTTGCATGGTTGCACACTTGTCCATGCATATTTGTCTCCCTCCGTAAACTTTTCCCCTCTTCTTCCCACTCTCTCTCTCTCTCTTCCTCCCTTGATTCAGTAGCAAGTGAGCATCTCCGTTTCACTCCTCCTTTCTCTCTTTTCCCCGATTCAGTAGCAAGTGAACAAGATAATTTCTTGTATAGCTTTCTCTCTCTATCAAGACACCATTGCCTAGAGCTTTATGCTTCGATGAGGTAAGTTTTTGCAAATCTTAACCCTAGATGCTAATGTTTTTGCCTTTCTCTCTCATCGCTCTTCCATATACATGTGTGTCTCTCTTCTATTCCCAATGTCATCTTCTTCTCTTTACAGGCATAACACTGTTGAGAGCTTCCATAAAATCTTTTCTTGTCTGGGTCTGGGATTCTCAACGTTTCCCTCTATCTCTCTCCCTCAACATAGCATAGCCGAGAGCTTTCTTCAAACCCTAACCCTAATGTTTATTCTTTTCTCTCTTGTCTTGAAGTTTCTCCATGTTCTCATTGCCTCTCTATTTTCTCATTTATTTATGTATGTCCATGTTTTCGGTGCAAAATCTTGCATTTCGCATGATTTTGTATGTATTTATACAGTATGTACAGTATAAATACATATTTGTATTTATACTGTACATACTGTACATATTCCAACTGCGAATCAAATGAACCCAAAGAATATTGGTTATAGTTTAACTCTACCTTAGGGGGTACAACTTGGGCTACCCCAACCCAAGATTAATCTGAACCAGCCTGTATTTTTGCATGAATTTGGCTTAAATTTTCGGTCCTTGAGCTGTGCCTGGGCCCAAAACCCCAGACTTTTCTATTTTTTCTTTTAGCTCGGGTCAGGTTCTCAGGTCTACTCCTGAAGTAACCTGAGCCAAGCCCAAACCCGGCCTGAACTTAGCCCAACCCAAGATCAGCTTGGCTATACACGTATACATGCATATATGAATGTATACACACATACATGCATATTCATATGCAAAATATATAAAATTCTTATTTAAAGGTTTAATTTAGTTATAATATATAGTTTAATGGAACTTTTTAGTATATTGGGTGTCGCAAGCCTCACTTGAGCCCAATTAACCAACTTGAGCATGGCTCGGGCACAGGCCCAACCCGAGTATGTCAATTTTTAGTTTGGTATGGGCCTGGGTTGGAAAGATTATGCTTGACCTTGGGCTTGGTATGGGCTGGAGCCTTAGGCCCAATATTTAGGGTCGGATTTATGTTGACCTTAAAACTGGTCCAGCCACCCAACTTGCATCCCTAACCTTATCATTTAAAAGTAACTAAATATAATCCCAAGTTTTTATAAATTTCTTAGAATTAAGGAATAAAATTTTTTGCATCTGAATTATTCATGCAGCCAATAGATTAATATATGATATGTCAAAAATGAGATGTTAAAGATAAAATTAGATTTTTACAAAGAAAGGTGATAATGTTATAAGGAAAAATAAAAATGCTCATTCTATTTCCCCTTTCTTGACCTCTATGTGTTTGTAATAAATTTTCCTTGCCCTCCTTATATTAATAAATATTGAACATAGAGTACCCTTGTCTTCTCAAATGTATTATTTTGGGATATAACTAGGAATTTACCTATGAAACCTTTTGTTTTTAATCAATTATGTCTTCGGTTTTTGCTTTGTTATTTAATATATATGTTTTTTTTTTCCGTAGCTTACTCCAAGAAGAAAAAGAAGAGAATATTTATCCTCATAAAATATCGGTGCATTTCTAGCAATGGCAATACTTATCTTGGGCATGATATTTTACACAAGGAAGAAGAAGATGCAGAGAAAAAGAGGTATTTTGATTTATATCCACAAAGATTTATTTGTTCACTTTTGCTCTTTTTAAGCTATTGTGGATATATTTTGATGCAGAGAAAAAGAGGTATATATTTTRATTCATAYCCACAAAGATTTATTTGTTCACTTTTGCTCTTTTTAAGCTATTGTGRATATATTTTGATGCAGAGAAAAAGAGGTATATATTTTRATTCATAYCCACAAAGATTTATTTGTTCACTTTTGCTCTTTTTAAGCTATTGTGAATATATTTTGATGCAGAGAAAAAGAKGTATATATTTTGATTCATACCCACAAAGATTTATTTGTTCACTTTTGCTCTCTTTAAGAGGAAATGGACCTTTCTATTGAGAATATATATACTTTGATGTCAACATGTTATCATAAATTTAAGATTTTTCAAACATGTAAGGACACTATCAAAGGAGAATTTTCTTTTCTTTTCTTTTCTTTTTTTCTAAAACGAGTACAAGTTTTCCAAAAATATTGGCAATACCTTGATAAATCTTCATACAAAATCAACATATATATATCACTAATTGGAGAGTATTAGTTGTTAAGTAGTCTATATTTTATCCATAATTAGACTTCAATAGCTCTTTATGGTTTGCTCAGATCCAGTCAATTTTCTATTAAGCAGGCAACATGGAAAACAACAATGAGAATGTTAACATTCTTGAAAACACAAGGAAAGACCTTGAATTTCCACTGTTTGATTTTCTTACAATATCAATAGCCACCAATGACTTCTCTCTCGATCACAAGCTCGGACAGGGTGGCTTTGGTCCTGTTTACAAGGTAATGTTATTATGCAACATAATGATCATCTCTCTCTATATATATATAGAGAGAGAGAGAGAGAGGAATTAAACAAACAAATTAAATTCCAATTTTTCTAATCTTACAACCATATTTTTTGTTGATAACTTGTAGGGTAAGTTGGAAGATGGACAAGAAATAGCTGTGAAAAGACTTTCCAAAACTTCTGGACAAGGTCCCAACGAGTTCAAGAACGAAGTCATATTGATTGCCAAACTCCAACATCGGAATCTTGTGAAACTTTTGGGTTGTTGCATTCATGGGGAAGAAAAGATGTTGATTTATGAGTACATGCCTAACAAAAGTCTGGACACCTTTATTTTTGGTTTGGCTCTATCAGAAGCTTATATATGCTTTCAGCTGCTTAACTAGATTTTTAATTACCTACTAATCATATGTTACAATAATATATATAACCCTAATAGAATCTTGTATTGACTTAATGGAAAAAAAAAAGATGAAACACAGCGCACAAAGCTAGATTGGGAAAAGCGCTACAACATCATTTGCGGCACTGCTAGGGGAATTCTTTATCTTCATCAAGATTCTAGATTCAGAGTAATTCACAGAGATATCAAAGCTAGCAATGTCTTGTTAGATGCCCAAATGAACCCCAAAATATCTGATTTTGGCCTGGCAAGAGCTTTTGGAGGAGATGAAACAGAAGCTAATACAAGTAAAGTAGTGGGAACATAATAAGTACATACACACCAGAAAGCAAACTGTAAAGGCTTAATTAATTAGCATTATTTGATTTCTAATACATTCAACTGATCATTTCTTGCACATATCTCATGCAGTGGTTATATGCCCCCGGAACTATTTGACCCGGAAACGAGTGGCCAAAATGGTTCCATGACTGATCCTGTTTTTAAAATCTTAACCTTGCTAAAATCCCAATTTTCTTGTAACGATTGGGGATGCAACCAAGTTACATGGTGGAAGTTGTTAGGCACCAACCCTGCTCAAGTTCTTAATATCTACCCACATGGTATTTGATATTCTAGTATATCTTCATATTGTGGTTTGTTGATTACAGCTCATGAAAGTTGGAACAAGATATAGAAGAATTACGAGGAACTATTAGAGTCCTTAGGGATCAGTTTGGAAGGAGTACAAATACATATATGTACAGTATAAATTAGTACATATAAAATAAAACAAAATACAAGATTATGCACTCTACATATTTGTATTTGTACTCCTTCTAAACTGAGCTTGATGTACAGTTTGGGAAGAGTATGCACACTGTAAAAACATATATATTATATTTTTGAACCTTATTTTGCACAGCACATATTTGTATTCGTACTCTTCCTAAACTGAGCAAGGGGACATTTGATAATAGTTGAACTAACTGACTTGGATCAATTGTTTCTTTTTTCTTTTAGGCCACGTTTGTTTGAGGTAGAAACTTGAACCGGTGTAAAGTTTACATTCCGGTTTGAATTTGCATCTGTTTGTTTGAGGTGTTGGTTTACACCATAAACCAGCGTAAAACTCCACTGTGCCCAAGTTTTACATCGATAATCGGTGGAAATTTATCATCGATAAAATCGATGTAAAATTCCATCGTCTTCCCCATCGGTGTAAAGCTCCCTCCTCAGACCTCTAGTCGTTGCAACGTTCAAACAATCACCAGTATTGTTCTCGATTGGCAACGGTGCAAGTTCAGTCTTCCATCATTTTTTCCAATCTGGAGGAGCAGATATGAGGAATGAATGCATGTCTCATATTTGCACCATTTTGTTCCTATTTGATGAACAAATCTGAGGAAGAGATGCATCGTTCTCAGATTTCCCCCTATTTTTTTCTCCTTTCTCACGGATCCGAGGAACGGATGCATCGTTCTCAGATCTGCCCGCATTTTTTCTTCTTTTTTCCTCGGATCCGCCCCCATCGTTCTCATCAGTTTTTTATTTCTCGCCATTTTTCTGCTCTGATAACGGTCCTGTTCATCGTCCTCAACATTCCAAAGCACTAACAGCGGTGGCGATAAGAGATTTCTTTGTTTTTTTCTTGCTCTTCGATTCCCTTATCTTCCTCCTATTCTCTCCGCTTCCCTTTCCATCTTCCTTCTCGCCAGTGACCCATTACTCATTTCCTTCTCTGACAAAAGCAGGGGTATGTTGTTACCATGGGTGATCATTTCTAGCCTAGCCTAGAAGAACGACCTGGCCAAGTTAACAAATATTTGAGCCTCATTACATTAATTTTTTCAATCTAGTTTATGCCTCGCAGCCCAAATATACATACATATATAATACATATACATGTATATATAAATATGCATGTGTATGAATCATATATACCATGTTAAATTTTATACATACATATATAACCCAGCCCAGCCCATGATTAATTCTAAAACTATGTTTGGTTTGGAAAAAAAAATGTAAAGAAACTTATACAATCTAACAAAACTTGTATAGGTTTCCCTTACTTTCTCTAATTGGAAAAGTGTTTTTCAATCATTGTAATGGTTTTTAAGGGTGGAAATGTTGTGGGCCTTCCCATCCGGGTATTAAGGAGAAATGATGCTAAGTGGGTCATACATAGGCTATACCACCGATGGTAGGCTAGGTGTAGGAGTGCCTACGAGCCGAGCTCTTCATGAGCTATTCGGGCTCGGTTCGTGAAAAGCTTGGCTCAGCTTGATTTCAACCGAGATTCGAGCTGGAACCCAATTTACAGGCTTATTTAATAATCAAGCCGAGCTCAAATAGCTACATATATAATAATAATAATAATAATAATAATATAAAATTATAGAAAATAATATATATATATATATAAATATTATATAATATTTTTATTTGTGTATATAATAATAACTAATTATTATAATTCTTGATTTTTTAAATTTCAAATAAAAAATAATTTTTATATAATATTTATTTTTATAAAACAATTTTTCTCAAGTCGAGCTTGAGCCGAGCCGAGCTCGAGCTTACGAGTTTTTGACTCAAGCCGAGCTCGAGTTCAAGGTTCTAGCTTGAACCGAGCTAGAGCCTTGTACTACCTTGGCAAGCTGAGCTCGAGCTTGATACTATTTGGCTCGGCTCAGCTCGAATCCACCCCTAGCCAAGTGGGACATGCGGGGAAAGTATATGAGCGTGAGTTATGATTGTAAATACGAGGCTAGAGGAGTTGATGAAGGGAAATTTGGCCCGACCTCGCAATCGCCTGACACGTGGCAAAGGCAAGCAACTCGGGACAGTAGAGCGCCCGAAGCGAACATCGGAAGCAAGTCCAAGCTCACTACCGAGCCCGAACTCCAGACCGCTCTACTGAGTCCAAGCTCCCTACCAAGAGTCCGAGCTCCCTA